CCTGTAAGTCCCCTGATTATATGCCGGGTCACTTCACTCACTCACTCACTCATTCATTCATTCATTCATGCCATAGGCCTCAGGAGTAAACTTCCCCTCGTCCCTGGGCTTGATTCATATTGGCTGTAACTGCACTTGTATTTGTGGAGGGTAGTGAGGCATTACTGCCCTCCCTTGATGTGTGAACTGTGTCAAAATATTCCCGGTCTCCCCAACCCAAGATTTGTCAGTGGGCAGCAGAGAGTCTGGACAAGACATTCATTGTTTGCATTGTAGACAAGGTCCTATCAGCAGGGCAGTTCATTAGGCCAGGAGGAGGCGGGGCTGCACAGGGTCTGCTGTATAAACCCCACTTATGCTCCTTAATTGCTTGCTCCGTCCTGGATCTTCCTCTTTTGGGCCGATGCTCCCCAACACTCTGTTTCCCTGTCCATGCCTCCTCCGTAATCCCAGGGATCCCTTCAGCAGGGATCCTGACATCAAGCTGCCCTTTTTCCTCAAAAATATTAGCAACTACAGCTACATTTGTCCAGGGCTTAGAAGCTTACAAGGCCCTTCCACACCGTGTCTCCTTCAGTCTGTTCCACAGTCCTCTGAGGGGCCCCCTCTGAGTGGGCATGAGAAGTTTTTGGCCAAAAAACTTGCTGACTTGGCCAAAGTCATGCGGTGGGTGAATAACAGACTGGGACTCGAACCAGGTCTCCTGACTCCAGATCCCACAGTCTTTCCACTGTCATTGGCTACCTCTGCAGGATAACAGTCAGGGCTGACTGTAGCTTTTTGTAAACAGGACACTTACCCTTGGCCTGTCCTGCGTCCGGGGCTAGCTCACTTGGTTAGGACAGTGTTCATGAGGCCAGTGGTCCAGGTTTGGTCCAAGAGGGTTTTGTCTTTGTCCTCTAGACACTCACTGGCCCTGTCTGGTTGTCCTACCCTTAGTCATAAGGTGTCCATAGCATAGGCTGCAGCCCAGGAAAACTGATTCCAGTACTAGAATCCTCACCTGAAGCAACTCTGCTGCTGATGGGCAGTAGGATTGTCCTTCTAGAAGGATGGTGATTGTAGGACTCGCTGACCACAGCCATTGACCACACCTAACACTGCCTTTAGACTGGACAACTGGGGCCACCTGCCTTGGGCCCCATGCTCTAGAGGGCTCCCCTCTGTCCCTCTGGCCGCACTCCTTCACATGGGGCAAAAAGTCCAGGGCCAAAGGGGCAGGCCTACCCAGAGCCCACCCCTCCTCTAGACCACACTCAGGCTGCCCAGGACCCTGAGTTCCCTGCCTGAATGCCTTCAGCACCTGCCCAGGCCTCTGCACTAGGTCTGTCCTCCTGAGGGTGCGCTGAGCTGCTGGCCTGGGTACTGCTAAGCCTGAAGAGTAGAGAGGGTATATATATATATAGAGAGAGAGAGAGAGGGTATATGTATATATACTGGGAACTCTCTATATATGTATATATATAGGGTTCCCAGGAGGGATGGAGCCAGGGACCAGGAAAAAAGAGGACCAGCTCATGAGCCAGGGACCTCTATCCATACTCATCCTCCGGGTCCCACAGACATTAGAGTGGGCCTGACAAGCGGTAAGGGATGCCTGGGTCCTCGAGGTAGCTTTCTTGCAGAATTGAGGGCCTAGAGCCAAAAGGGAAATGAATAGGCCCAGCTTGCTAGGAAAGCCCATGAAATCAGGGGCCACCCTAGGCCGGAGGTAAGGTGTAAAGAGAGCAAGGCCTTCTGAAGAGGCTGACACCATGTGCAGGAGCCACGATTACTCAGTGCAAATCCCCCGCCCACCTCTGAGGGTTATTATGTTTATGAATAGCTACCCTTGGTTGACTGCTTAATCTACTCCAAATAATTAGTTATTGTCTAGTTAATCCTCTACAACTCTAAGGCAAATAATATAATCTCAATTTATAGACAAGGAAATAAAGATCAGAGAGGTTGTATAAGGTGCCCAAGGTCACACAGCCTGTAAGTCCTGGAGGTAACCGTCATACTCAGGCAATCTGATTCTCAAGCCAACGCTTGACCTCTAGGCTGCACTGCCCCAACAGGAATGTGAAGAGAAATTTCAGTAGCTATGAAAACAGAGCTCGTGACAGCAAAGAGGACCTGCACATTTAAGTATTGTTAAGCCTGTAGTAGTCTGTGACAATAGGCTCATTGAATCATTCAATAAGCAAGCACTGTCCATGTCTACATGGCAGACACTCCGCTGGGTTCTGAGACTGATAGATGAGTAAGCTCCCATCTTCAAGGAATGTGGAGCAGTGGCTCTCAGACTTTAGCAAGCACCAGAAGTGCCAGGACGGGTGTTAAATCACAGATTGCTGGGCCCAGCCCCACAGCTTCTGAATCAGCAGGTCTGAATGAGGCCTGAGAATGTGCATTTCTGACAATGTCCCAGGAGATGCCCATGCTGCTGGCCTGGGGACCCCACTTTGAGAACCACTTTGGTAGAAGTTGTGCCCATCAAGAGTCTCTCTGTGAGTTGTGAGGCAAAGTGGAACCCCACTGCTCTCCCTTCCCTGTGGAATGAGGAGATAATAAACCTCGAAGTCCTCCTTGAAGGAGGAAACGGTTCCAAAGCTTCTTCAGAGGCAGCAGGCTGAGGTCGCTGGTGAAGGGGAGGTGGGTGCATTGGCCCCGAGCCCTGTGGGTGGATCAGGTCTCTGAGCACCAGCTGGTGGCTCACTTCCCGTTGGCCCCTCCAACTGCCTGTCCCTCCAGGCCCACAGCAGCTAGTCCGTCCGGGTTTGAACCTGGTGATATCTGCAGAGATCTTATCACCAACCAGAGGGGCAGGGGTGCCGGAATTCCCAGGAAGGCCTTTTCAAATCGTGCACATTGTATTTTGGGGAGCGTAAGGGAGGGCAGGTGTCCTGCACCTACATGAACTAAGAATCGCCGGGCTGCGGTCCTGCTTCTCTCCTCCCTACAAAGACGCCCAGAGGATGATCAGCAAGGAAAGCAGCCTAGAGGGTAGGTAAATAAAAAATAAATAGAAATGGAGGGTTGGCTGGGAGCCCCTGGGGATTAACTAACTAATTAATCCCCACACCAGTTTGACGAGGAACTAATTAATCCGTTAAGCGCCTTGAGGGGCCAAGGCCTGGCCAAGTGCAGGGCAAGGCTCCTCTCACCTGGGGAGGCTGAAGCCCAGTGTGGCCCCTGTCCGAGCTCTTCAGGGAGGACCTGCCTCCCAGGGCACTCGTCTCCTCTGCATCGGAAGGCTGCCTCTCAAGCTGTTTCTGGAGCCAGGCTCGCTGTCACTCTGCCCAGAGAATCGAATAAGAGAGCTCCTGGGAAAGGCTGTGGCCTCCAGCTTCTCGAAGGATCAGAGAAGTGTGGAGCCACAGAGCCTCAGAACTGGAAAAGCTCTCGGAGATCCACTTTCCAGATGCAGAGTAAAGTTTACACACTACCCTGGCTCACTGTTTGGACATAGACACAGCTCAGATGTTTGTTGATAATCATTTCTACTGAGCACCCAGGCAAGGGGAATTCGTATCTCCCATAGGTCTTGCTTGAACTCCACCTGGGAACTCAGCAGGGGGCAAAATCTTTCTAAAATCGAACCTATGTGGTCTGATTTAGACTAAGATGATCGTTTTATCTTTATGTGATTTTTCATGCACTTTGGTAACAAATTCCAGGCTAGTCACAACCTATTGAGTTGGGCCCTGAAGTCTGCTTAGATCTTTCCTATCGTTCACTTTTGTGATGCTCTTTTTAATCTTCTGTGCCCTCGAAGTGCAGTTTGCCTCTTGTTACAACCTGATGTCAGAAAATTATCCGATAGCAGCCATCCGGGAATGTGAATGACCCTTACCTTTCCCAGAGAAACTTTTTCTTTCGATTCTTCTGTCTTGTTACAAAAGAAGAGGCTCTACAGCCAAAGGGGTAAAGGGCTTTCTAAGACCAGGCAGCATGCACCAAGAAATTTGGAACAACCACACCTAGAATCACAAAGTGAAATGTGTGAGGCAAGCTGCGGTGATAGCATCAGCGTCACAGAAGGCTAGCTGGTGGGGATGCTGAACGGGAGCCGTGCCATCGAGGATTCATTTATTTATTTATTTTTTGTGAGGAAGATCAGCCCTGAGCTAACATCCATGCCAATCCTCCTCTTTTTGCTGAGGAAGACTGGCCCTGAGCTAACATCCGTGCTGATCTTCCTCCACTTTATGTGGGACGCTACCACAGCATGGCCTGACAAGCAGTGGGTCAGTGCACAGCGGGATCTGAACCCGGGCCGCCAGCAGCGGAGCATGCGCGCTTAACTGCTACACTGCAGGGCCGGCCCCCGAGGATTTGTTTAATCAACAAGTGTTGTGTGTCAAGGATGTAAGTTGAATTTGGATGATTCTGTGTCCATGGGGGCCCCCTGTCTAGTAGAAGAGAGGGCAGGGGCAATGGTTAAGCAGAAGTTTCCACTAAAGAGTGATGCCTGAAATGACTGAGCACTGTCTGGGCTCTGTGAACCCAAAACCCACCCTTCAGAGTGGATCCGCCAGGGCCCCTGAGTCCCAGCCTGGAGCTGAGACTGCAAATCTTGCAAAGCTGCCCTGAGCCGGTGTTGGTGTCTGATTCTCAAGCTTTGCAGGACTCAGCAAGACAGAGAGGGCTTCTTAAGACACGGATTGCTGGGACCCACCCCAGAGGTTCTGATTCAGTATGTCTGGGGTGAGGCCAGAGAATTTGTCTTTCTAATGTGTTCCTTAGATGATGCTAATGCTACTGGGTCAAGGGACTACACATTGAGAACCACTGTGCTAGAAGGTTCTGATCCACCCAAGGTGCAGTGAAAGAGGGACATGCCAACCAGGACGTCTGGCCTCCAAGACTGCTCCCAGGCCCAGGCTCTGCTGAGAGATGGCCAAGCATGCCATTCACTTCATTCATCCTCGACAGAGGATTTTCCGGCTGCCTTTAATATTTGTTTGTTTGTTTTTAGAGTGGTTTACCTGTCTCTGTATTTCTTTTTCCAATAGAGTGAAATGGATGAGAACCAAATCCAGATGGCTGGAGATGATGTGGATTTGCCTGAAGATCTCCAGAAAATGGTAGATGAAGATCAAGAAGAGGAAGAAGATAAGGATACTATTCTTGGGCAGTTCCAGAATCTTCAGAACATGGACTTGGACACCATCAAAGAAAAAGCCCAGGCCACCTTCACAGAAATCAAGCAGACAGCAGAGCAGAAGTGTTCTGTGATGTGAGGGGCGGGGCAGGGATGGAGGAGGGAACGAGGTCAAGGCGGAAGTGACCACTCTCCCATGGAGCGTTTTGAGCAGCGTATACTTTAACCTAGTGAACACAGTTAGAAACACCATGATGATAAAGCTCTCTACAAACATGAAGACACCAACTTGATGTTCTAAATGTTCCTGGTAGAGCATTTATCTAGCACCTTGCAACAGGAAACATACTTTCCTTTTAGTTATAAACGTGGCTAAGTATGAAATTTCACCTGTGAGTGATGCAGAAGACATCTGCTTAAAGACCACAGGACAGCCAGGAAGAAACAAAAGCAAAGGCATTTCCTTTCTGACTTCCTTCCTTAGGGGGCAAGGTCTCACCCTGTCCAACTGTTAGCATGATTCCAGGTCCCTTCAGAGAAAGATGGGAAAGGTCAGGGTGCCCATTGGGAGCCCCGGCTGCAGGCTCAAGGGCAAGTAAAGACCACACCACGTCTTGCTCCCAGGATCCTTGATGTCATTGATGCTTCTCATCAAGTTTGGCACTTAGTTCAAAGCCAAGGGAAAGTAGCAAGATTGTGGTAAATGATGAGAAATGATGGCGGAGAATAGACTTGACCAGCCCTTTGCATTGTAGCTCATCATTCTAGAGGCCACGTGAAGAATGGATTTGAGCGGGGTGAGACTAGAGGCAGGGGGCAACTGGGAAGGTTATTGCTGTTTCTGCATTCAGCACCATCTCCTCTTGTCTGAACTTGGTGACAGCAATGGGAACAAAAGGGGTGGACAAATAGAGAGCATTGAGAGTTAAGTCAATCTCTCTGTGTGTCTCTTTCTCTCTCTCTTCCCCTGTTTCTCTCTCATCCTGTCCTCCTCTTCTTGCCCTCTCTCCCTACCTCTCCTCCTTTTTCCTCTCCTGTCCCACTCCATCCCACCCCTTCAGACTAGCTTCCAATAAATCATGCTGTCATTCCATGCTACAGTCTTCCAGGGTGTACATGGATTTCTTTTTCTTGACATTTGCTCTCTTTGAAAAGGAATTATTCACAAGACTTAGAATATTTACCTCTGAAATACTTAGAGCTGTTTAGCCAAAGCCAGCCAAACCAAAACAAAATACTGGTTTTTCAATGAATGTTCATAGAATAAATAATTCTCAAAGACAAATTTTATCAAGAAGAACTACTCGATCAGAGGAAAAGGAAACTAATACCAAAAAGTGAGAGGCTAACCTGTTCTATACCCAGAGTTCCTGAATGTGTTGTCCAAGAAGTTTCACGCTATGAAAATATGCAAATAAAACAAATTATTAGGGGTCCAGAACTTACAGTCCTTGGCAAAGTTTAGCCCCTCTTGGAAGTTCCTGGGAGAATATGGATGCAATGTTTGAGGGTAATTAGCCTTGAAGTCCACTTTCTTAGTCCCTTCAGGTTGCTGTAACAAAATACCATAGACTTATAAACAAGAAACATTTATTTCTCATAATTCTGGAGGCTGGAAGGCTGAGATCAGCCTGCCAACATGGTGGGGGGAAGGACCTCTCTGGGTTGCAGAATTCTCGTTTTACCCTAACATGGCAGAAGGGGCAAGGGAGCTCTGTGGGTCTCTTTTATAAAAGCACTAATCTCATTCACGAGGGCTCCACCCTCATGACCTAATCACCTTCCAAAGACCCCGCCTCCTAATACTCTCACCTTGGAGGTTAGGATTCAACATATGAATTTGGAGGGGACAGAAATTCAGGCCAGAGCATCCACGAACCCCAGATACATTGGACATAGTTTAAAATCATGCTTGTCTTTGATCAGAACTGGCATATGAGTTGTGATTTGTTTTATAGCTGGAACTTTAAAATATTCACAATTTTAACAGCTATAAAATAATGGATAAGATTTATTTTCAGTTCAGTGCCTGAGTCTGCCCTATAATTATCAGCCCGGGTGGGATGGATGGGTGATGCACGTGGTCTTGTGTTTGTACACTTTGTTGTGACACAAAATACTGTGGCTGCCAAATTATTCCACAGACTAGCTGCAGGAGGACATAGAAGGCTTGCTTTCTTGTAAAAGATGCAGCCAATGCTGCTAAGGAAATCACTAAATTAGCGCTTCGTCTTGACAACCAACGTGCTCCAGTACCATTTGGTCCCTGTCCCAGTGGAGCTGCACACCTGCTGGAGGACTCTGGCCGTGGTGATCTGACTCTTCTCATATCACAACACACCACACCGTGTTACACAACATAACCTCATCCCATAATACACCATATCACACCACAGCACAGCACACCAGACGACACCACCTCCATCAATACACACCACATGTGTATGGGGCTGGGGCAGGGAGGGCCTGTATTAGGGCATTCAGAGGGCCTTTTTCCCTCTCGAGGTAGATAGTGTCTATATCATGTGATGGACACAAAAGGATCTCCCTTCACCAAAACAAAGAGTCTAACAATTGTAAAGGACTAGAAAGGAATCTATTCTAAACACCCATAAATAAGAAAACCTCTGCTACAACACACCAGTTGAGCCTCATCTGAAAGCCTCCAGTGGTACAGAGTTCACCCTCTGCTGCTCCTGCTCTGAGGGAATTCAGCCACTGCTGCTTCCATTTGTGGACATCTTTAATTGTTAGAAAATGCTTTCTTGTCTTAGGTTGAAATTGGCTGCGTCTTTGACCCATTTGTCATGGTTCCGTTGTGTGGAGCTATACAGATGTGCCCAAATTCCTACTTGGGCCTTGGATGATGTCCCCACTCAGTTTTCTTTTTTCCAGGTAAGACATCCTTAGTTCTTTTCATCAGTTCACAGCACACACTATTGACACCGTTGGCCCACTAGGTAACCCTGCTCTGACTGTCACTGTCCACGAGTGAAGCCAGCCATGCAGTCAAGTGGATGCCATCGCCTTCCACACTCTGCCACTGGACTTGATGCTTGCAGCCATTCCTTTGGGCCAACTGGTAGTAAGGAATGAGGATTCAAGTCCCAATTCCCTTCTGTGTGACCTTGAACAAGTCATTTGTCTTCTCTGGAAATTCATTTTCTCCATAGTAAAAATGAAGGGGCTGGATTCCTTTACATTCTATGATCCATTCTATAGTTTCGGGGTAATCAATATCAGGTGTAGCATTATCTCATGAAAGAGCACATTAGCCCATTGCCACTGTCACGGAATTAGGTTTCTGTCCCTCTACGAACTCCAGCTGAGCAAAGGGACAACAGCCCCCAGGGGTGGAAAGGGACAGAGTTTGGGTAGTTTCTAGAAGGCAGAAGGGCCAGGAACACAGAGGAGTTGCCCATGAAGAGAAAATCTTAGGTCCAGGGAATGTTTTTAGTCAGGAGGAAGGACCTCTAATGACCTTAGGGAGAAATGCTGAAGAATGAATTCCAAGAAGACAAGCGAAATGGACTGCCCAGTTTTGCCTAGAGTTAGTCTAGTCCCCAATTAGATATGCACTCCTACAGCACAATGAAGCAGGCAATCTTCTTTTGAAAGCATATTGACGTAGTGAGCTCAGTTATTCAGAGGCCAACTAATCCAGTTTGTGAGTTACATAAGCACTTCAATTTGCGACCCTGACACTAGAAATCTGGCCAAATTGCCGCTACAAACAGAACCATCAGAGACAGGGAGAGGGGTGAGATTAAAAACGAACCAACAAACCGGGGGTTTGCAGCTTCTGATAACAGGGGATTAGCTCCTATGGATTAACCCTCCTGCAGAAAACAACTATAAACTCTCCACCAAATACAAAGAAACAACTGCCTGAAGGCCCCAGAGAGCAACCCAAAGCAGGTCTACACTGGAGGGGAATCGAATCTACACTTGGAAGAAGGAAAAAGCACTGGTGAGTTTTCTTTTGTTTACAGATTTCATCTGAGGGCAGACCCCAGTCAAGACAAGTAAGCGCTAAAACTCAGATAGAAAACCTGCAGCCCGTTGGCTCGAAGAACCAACAGAGTTTGGGGTGACCACAGTAGCCGTAAAGTGAAAGAGCAATTTCCAGAAGGGAGAGAATCACAGAAGGACAGGCCTAAATTCTGTGTGTAAAGTCTGTTCAAGATCCTGGCTAGTCCCTGACCTGTGTTGTATGAGGCAGACACCAAGCAGCCCAGTGAAGGTTAAACAGCTGAGCCAAGAATTCTGTTGCTGCCCACCCCGGGGAAATATTTGTTTGTATCCCGCCAAGTTTGCTGATTGCTAACCAAACAAAAATACTCTTCATAAAAACATAACTCAGCAAAGTAAGTAGAAGGAAGGCGATAATAAAGATAAGAGCATAGATTAATGAAATAGAAAAAAAAAACGAAAAACAAAAGAAGCCCAAAAATTGATTCTTTAAGAGGATCAACAAAGTTGATAGAGGCAAGGTAGACTGCTCAAGAAAAAAAAGAAGAGTGAGAACGTAAATTACCAACATCCAAAACAAAAGGGAGGATACACTACAGATCCTACAGACATTAAAAGTTTAATAAGGGAATATTGTGGAGAACTTTATGCCGATAAATTTGACAACTTAGTGAATTTGACAAATTCTTTGAAAAAACACACCTTACAAATACTGACACAAGAGGGACAGAATAACCCCATGTTTACTGAAGAACTAGAAGTAATTCTCAAAATCTTATGCACAAAGAAAAATCCAGGCCCCAATGGCTTCACTGGTGAATTATATCACATATTTAAGGAAGAAATATCACCAATATTACACAAACTCTTTCAGAAAATAAAGGAGGAGGGAATTCTTCCAAGTAATTTTATTAGGCAAGTACCCTGACACCAAAATCTGACAAAAACGTTATAAAAACAGAAAATCACAAGCCAATATCCCTGTTGAATAGAGATGAAAAATCCTTAACAACTAACAGCAAATCAAATCCAGCAATATAAAAAGAAAAGATAATGTATCATAAAGAAGATAGGTTTATAACAAGCCATACATAAGTTACAGACTGGAAGAAAATATTTTCAAAATGTACATCTGACAAAAGATTGGAATCTAGGAGATATATATATATAAAATATATGTAACATATAAATTACACAAATTTATATATATAAATATGAACTAATAATTTATATAAATTACATATATTTACATATATTTGTATCTGACAAGAGACTGGAATCTGAGGTTCCAGTATTTTATCTGATACAAATATATGAAATATATATAATTTATATAAACATATATATTTAAAACTCTTCCAACTCAATA